GGGGGTCGGATTTAGGGGGGGCAGGAGGAGCTGCCGCTGCCAGGCCGTGGCTGCAGCTTCTCCACTCGGTCCCACAGCGGGCGCTGCTCCACATTGCTGCCACAGAAATCAATCAAACTAATTTGAAATTTAAACATTTACAGGCTAACAATTTTGTTTGTCCAATCTATCCACCCATGTGGTCAGTGGCAGCAGTAGCAATGTTCCTATAATATCCTATCCAACTTTAACTTGCTTAAATGAGTGCAACTGCAGAAATCAAATGACAAAATCATTAAGGGGTCTCTGAACTTACCCAGCATTCCTCTGCCCACCCTGGTTGCTGGGCTGTGATGGCAGAGGGGACTCTCGACGCGACAGTACTGGGGACCTAGACGTTGTCCTCACTGGCACCTGGAGGAGACATTCAGAGGTTCTCACACAGTGGCAAGTATGTGTTTATTAAGATGATCTTATTAAACTGACGTCAACAAATAGTAATTTTATTAATGAAACACATGTGTCTGCACAAAAGTGATCTAGACTCATGACTGAACAGACTACACTGCATCACCATGTCAGTGTCAGTGTAAATCATCAATATTTCAGCCATAGATGCTGAGCACAGAAACAATTTCTATGTTTTGAAGATACAAAATTCTAAGTTTGACTTCTGAATGTCACTTGTGCATAGAAATGCAACGTTTCTTATTTTGTTTCAGTACATGAATTTCATAAGTGTTCAGTGTTGATATTCAACAGAGCAAACCAGACGCACACGGTCAGCAGCATGATAGTGAAGTGACTGGCATGAGAGGAAGGGGAGGGAGGGGGGAGTCAGAGAAGGGGTTGGAACGGGCCGTCAGCTACTCCTTACCTTGGGAGGCACGTCTTCACTGCTGGCCTGATGTTCGGCCCTAGTCTGGGCCTGAGGGTGGTGGAGGGGAGGTTGGGGCTGGGGGTCAGTGCGTGCGGGCGACGGATGGTGGTGGTGGTGATGGTGGGGGTCCTGAGAGCGCAGGTGGAGTTGTGCAAAGCTAGAGGTCACGCCACCGGGCTCGCTGAAGGACTGGGAGCGAGAGACCACGGGCGGAGGAGGAGAGGGGGCGGCGCTGTTGCCACTTTTAAGGGCAGCCAGGTGGGACCACTGTACCTTATAGGGAGAGAGGGAGCCAAGGAGGGTACAAGAGGAGAGGAGAAAGGAGAAAGTAGGGGAGGGGAGGTGAAACAAACAGACAACACAGTGAGACATAAGGGAAGATGTGCATGGCTTTTCCACGTACATGTACACACATAAATATGTGTGTGTGTGTGTGTGTGTGTGTGTGTGTATACACATATACATACAGACACAGCACTACACAACACAGTAACATGCTTTACTCAGATCCATTGTTCAATATTTTGGGAAATGTTGAATTTCCTGCCAAGACTCACAGAAGATTGTTACAACTCTAAGAGTGCAAACGCATTAAAGCCAATGGAGTGAGATCAGTGGCATAGAGCAGAAATTATAGAATTTATGAGTTGATCTATTCTTGGACTGTTCAGTGAAGGAGAACTGAATCTGTAAAAGCACATATTTCTCCATGGTAGCAATTTTATAATACCCTGCCCCGGATCTACATATGGGTATTGCTGGTGTAGATGAGTGGTTTCAAGCCTCAGACTGGTCCCAGGCAACAAATAAGAATATGTTTAGTTTTATAAGTGTTTGAGTAAGCACTCCTTACAAGGAGAGATTAAAATGGGGAGTTTTCACAATGGAAAGAAAACTATTATCTAAATACAACTGACATGTAGAGCAGCATGGTGCAGGATCAGTGTGCAGTAAGTGATGTCAAAGAGTTTGGAAGTGTATGAGCCATATAGCTGAACTGGAGTGAGATACAGCTGAGATCCAAACAATTAAAAAAACAACTAAAAAGGAATGTTAATATTTAACAGACCTTACTGTTTCATCGTGGACTCTTTTCTACCCATCTAAGCTTGCAACTGTAGATTTCCACACAGAAGAAGAATGTGGACTTAAAGATAAACACAGACACTATTATTGTACTATCCTTGTCAAAAAAGCAAGTTGCTGTTGCTTTGTTGTTTGACAAAACCACATCCAGCAGCAAGGGAGGAACAAAGTCACAGGACTGGATGGAAACGGACTAGGAAGGATGGAGGATTACCTGAGGCTCCATGGGCCGGTGTATGGCAGAAGCTTCAGAGGAGGAGCTGCCATTGGAGAACGGTTCAGAGGAACGGGGAGGTAGAGGGGGCTGCTTGGGAGGGGGGGCACTCTGAGGGGAGCTCTGAATATTCTTTCGGTACCGCTCGTCAGCCTGGGATGGGGGAATCATACAGGACAAAGACAGAATGAGAGTCAGGACGAACACTTTAATGATGAATGAATGAAGGTGAAATCAAAGGAAAATGGGAAAAATGAAGCTGTAGGGAACCACATGTTCAAAATAACTGGCAATGATCCAGTGTGTGCAGAATCACATATGAATAACATGTTTTCTTTTTTTATTTAAAATGGTTCCCATCTCCTTGTTTCTTCCAAATATTATGGTCTCATAGGGATCTTTTGTGTATTTAAGAATCTTTATATTTCACTGACAAACTCAACAGTAACAACTGGTGACAATGACATTAAACATGCTTGAAGCCCATTCAAGGCAGCCACACAAACATACATGTGGACAGACACACAGAAAAAGGCACTGCTCAAACAAATACATCCTTGAATTTGAATAATGAATGGAAGAAAAGATCACTGTTAATAGCACGAAACAGCTCTGCTAATGACAGGAGACACTGCTCTGGTGTCCTGCATGTTAGTTTGGACCTCAGCCATTCACATGCAATGGCCCAGTCCACACACACACTTGGAGTCAAAACAGCCAAACTGAAGAACTTCACAGGTTGACCATCCAAGATCAAGAGAAATTCCACTTGAGAAACATTTATGGTTCTACACTGTTCTGAAGAGGATAACCTTTCACTCAAATTACGGCGAAATTTTAAAAAAGCATAAATGATGCTCAAGTAAGCAAGAATGGAATTATATTCTAATGGGGGAAAACTGAAACTACAGATTTAAAAAGATGAAAATAAGACTGGCAGCTTGTTCTTTCTTCCAAACATACAAGTTGATTATTTCTCTCGCTCTTGCTCAGCCTGCTCCAAGTGCAAAATTAAGACAAAAACATTTCAAACATCCCAAAGGTAGTCAAATAGTCAAGGAGGCTAGCAACGGTGCAAGTGAGAGCAAGTGTCAAGAGACAGGGGAGGAGAATAGCTCCGCTTCATTCAGGACATAAAGCAGTTGGTTGCTGGTAGTTGTGAGCCTGGAGCTTTTCCCTTCTCTACCATCCTCCCCACTGTTTCATTCAAAAAGGGTCTGGCTGAAATAGTCATAACAATTTAGTTATTGCTTTGGGATAACACCACTGCATCCAAACCAGAAGATGAATACTAAATTGAATGTAATTATCCGGGCTAAAGAAAACTGTTACTCATCATCATGTTCACTAAGGCTGAGTGAAGACAAGCAGGAAGAAGCTGGAAAGAGCAGGCAGACGAGTAGGCAGAGCCGAGGAGGAGGATCACCTCTCTGATAGGCTGAGGAGGACGACTGACAGGCTCCAAACTGTCTGCCTGGGGAGGTTCAGAGCCAGTGGGGGTTTCAATCTGAGTGGGGCTGGGGGAGATTTCAAGCTGGCTGGGACACGTCTCATCAGAGTCAGTCTTCTCTAGTATTGCCTCCTGAGATTTGTCGTTGTCTGAGGGGATCGTCTGAGGGGCTCCGGAGGACTCGTGAGTGCCTCTGGCTACAAAAACAACACTGTCAAGGACCTGAGCTTGTGGGGTTGTCATAAGGGCTCTGTCAGGGGGCAGGGTGGAGGTCTGTGGAGCTTTGCTATGGTCTGAGGGGAGTTTGCTGTTGTTGCAAAGCTGCTGTTTGGAGTCGTGCTGGAGCGACAGCAGGTACGCCTGCTCCTGCTGCAGGCGCTTATGGAGTCGCTCGGCCTTGCGCTGCTCCTCGAGCTCCCGCCACTTGAACTCCTATTGCAGAGTGTGGGGTTGATTTAAGGTGGTAAGATGAGAAGTAACGGCTAACAGCAAATGTTGGCCTGACGAACTCAGGCTGACTAAAAATCAGTGCTGTCTTTTAAACCCTATTTTTAAAACCACATTTTTACAGACTTCAGCAGTGATCCTCTTTACATGTCTCTGTTGATTCTGTTTTGTTCTGTCGCTTTTAAGCTGTTTCTAACTTGTGCTGGCTAGTTTATAAACTTTTTCAGTCTTTATTACAAAGAAAAAACATGATACAAACTAAACTAAGCTAATCTAATTATATTAAAATAAATTTGCATGAAGAACTCCAAAATCTGAGTTTCATAATCATTGCGCCAATTACCGAGGTGGTTCACTTCAGAAAAATGTGTGAAAACAGAAGCACTGACGAAGCATAACTTATTAAAAAAGTGAGGTGCCTAGTTTTTAAAGGAGAACTCGCAAAGTTTCATTCATAAACATGGCAACAAATAAAACTGTCAAAACATGAACTCAGATTGAACCATGGTTTCATAAAGTCTTGATTTTACTCATAAAGTATTCAGAGTAATGCTCGAGTGATATCTTGTTCTCAAACTAAACCCGTGCTTAGGAATATTAAAGGCTTTAACACACGGATCAATTTTATCTTTACTGAAGTCTTGATCCAGAGGCATTGGCCATAACAACTGTAAAACTGGCAGCAAACACAGGAGGAAGACAATGTTGTTGATGTACAGAGGAGTTTGAAAGTAAGAGTGTGTGTGTGTGCACGTGTGTATGAGAGACTGACCAGCAGCATGGCCTGTTCACGGAGCAGCTGCTCCTGCAGCATCTCCAGGTGTCTCTGCTCCTCCTCCAGCTGACGTCTGATGTACTCCTGTCAATCACAGCAAGGGCATCCAAAAATAGACTCAAATGTCTAGATTTATGTCTGCATGGCTTTTCCACTGTTGATGCTGTTTGTCCATTTTGAATAAGCAATATATACTGCAGTCAAAATCTAATTTGGCATGTTCTCACAGATGATGTGTCAAGTATACGACCCTAAAATCCATTTTCATTCACACTGAGTCAAGTTGTGATCTTCATCCCAGGTGCTTCTTTAATTTACATTACTAATACAAACATACCACTTTCTGTTCTGTTTTGTTTGTGAGAACTGTACTAGTGCCAACTCTGAACCATCGTCTGTAGCCCTAGCACATCTCTTTCACCAACTACCAAATTCTACCTGCCGCTGTGAACAGAAGGGACCACCAGTCGATTTCAAAATTAGACATTCTAAGTAGAAATTTTTTTCTTTAAACCGACCTGTTCACGATCATTCCGTCTCTTCTCGTCCTCGGCCCGCCGCCGTTCCTCCTCTTCTTTGCGTCTACGATCCATCTCTTCAACACGCCTCTTCTCCTCCTGCTCACGGCGACGCTGCTCACGCTCCTGTTGTCTCCTCATCTCCCGTTCCCGTCGCTGTTGCTATAGGGACAATACACAAGAAATGTAAAAACAAAAACTCATCAAAAACATTATTTGCAGCAATCAGATCTCTGGGTCTCATCTGACTGAGCAATCTGTGACCAAGTCTTAGAAAAAGAAAACCATCATCTGACCTCTTCCAGGCGCCTCCTCTGCTCCTTCTGCTGCTCAATACGTTTCTGCCTTTCAGCCAATAGTTGGCGCTTGTACTCCTCCTGCTCCCGGAGCTGCTGCTCCTGGAGGAGCTGCTGGCGACGGAGCGCCTCTGATCGCTCCTTGTTCTCCTGCTGGAGGCGGATAAAGTCGCGGCGCAGAGTAGACTCACCTGGCACGTTGACAATGGAGCTGGATGACAGGATGTAGTGGGACAGAAGGGTTAGATTAGCTCGATTTAAAAGATCTTCCAACAAGCAGGTAAACGAGCATAAGGTCATACCTGGGTTCTCCCTCCTGCTCTGGGGCATCCTCCTCCTCCTCCTCACTGCCACTGTACTCGTACTCAGTCTCATCTGTACATGAAAAAACACAAACAAGTCACTCAGAGCCACTCACCACAGCTATATATAATACATTGACAGCTTCCATGTGATTATCTGTTGGACAAAGTAGACATTTTTCAGGTCACACAGAAAAGAGAGTTACTAGTTGGCAAGTGAAGACATAAAAACAAACGCACCCTTCTCTCCCCTCTTCTTCTTGGTCCGGTCAATGTGGTCTTTGAGCTGTATACGGACTTGCCTCTCATTGGGCTGGTCTCGGATAAAGGGGTGCTTCAGCAGCTGCTCTGTTGGGGGGCGCTGAGTGTAGTTCTTCACCAGACAGCTCTCGATGAAACTGAAAAACTTTTTGGACCTGCAGAAATTGTAGAGGAAGAGCAGAGAAGGAGAGTCAGAGAGATAGGGAGGGTGAAAGATAAAAAGAGATACTGGGAGCCAGACAACTATTTCAGCCACATAAGAACAGAGCACAGCCCAGGATGCTAAGTAAAATGGACATTTCAGCAGATGGTCTGATGCCAAATTACCCATTGGTACTAACAACACTGAGGTCGCTCACACACTCCACAACATAACAACAGCCTCTCATTTCTTGGTGTACACTGGGGTTTATGTATGCAGACGGGCAGCATGGAACCACATCACTATATATATATATTTATATACACAGTGGTGTGAAAAAGTGTTTGCCCCCTTACTGATTTCTTATCTTTTTGCATGTTTGTCACACTGTAATGTTTCAGATCATCAAACAAATTTATATATTAGTCAAAGATAACACAAGTAAACACATCATGCAGTTTTTAAATGAAGGTTTTTATTATTAAGGGAAAACAAAATCCAAAACTATATAGCCCTGTGTGAACAAGTGTTTGCCCCCTAAACCTAATAACTGGTTGGGCCACCCTTAGCAGCAACAACTGCAATCAAGCGTTTTCGATAACTTGCCATGAGTCTTCCACAGCGCTGTGGAGGAATTTTGGCCCACTCATCTTGGCAGAATTGTTGTAAGTCAGCCACATTGGAAGGTTTTCGGGCATGAACTGCCTTTTTAAGGTCATGCCACAGCATCTCAATTGGATTCAGGTCAGGACTTTGACTAGGCCACTCCAAAGTCTTCATGTTGTTTTTCTTCAGCCATTCAGAAGTGGACTTGCTGATGTGCTTTGGATCATTGTCCTGCTGCAGAACCCAAGTTCGCTTCAGCTTGAGGGCACAAACGGATGGCCGGACATTCTCCTTCAGGATATTTTGGTACACAGCAGAATTCATGGTTCCATTTATCACAGCAAGCCTTCCAGGGCCTGAAGCAGCAAAACAGCCCCAGACCATCACACTACCACCACCATATTTTACTGTTGGTATGATGTTCTTTTTCTGAAATGCGGTGTTACTTTTACGCCACACATAATGGGACACACACCTTCCAAAAAGTTCAACTTGTGTCTCTTCTGTCCACAGACTATTATCCCAAAAGTCTTGGGGATCATCAAGATGTTTTCTGGCAAAACTGAGACGAGCCTTTATGTTCTTTTTGCTCAGCAGTGGTTTTCGTCTTGGAACTCTGCCATGCAAACCATTTTTGCCCAGTCTCTTTCTTATGGTGGAGTCATGAACACTCACCTTAACTGAGGCAAGTGAGGCCTGCAGTTCTTTGGATGTTGTTGTGGGGTCTTTTGTGACCTCTTGGATGAGTTGTCGCTGCGCTCTTGGGGTAATTTTGGTCGGCCGGCCACTCCTGGGAAGGTTCTCCACTGTTCCATGTTTTCGCCATTTGTGGATAATGGCTCTCACTGTGGTTCGCTGCAGTCCCAAAGCTTTAGAAATGGCTTTATAACCTTTTCCAAACTGATAGAGCTCAATTATTCTCTTTCTCATTTGGTTTTGAATTTCTTTGGATCTCGGCATGATGTCTAGCTTTTGAGGATCTTTTGGTCTACTTCACTTTGTCAGGCAGGTCCTATTTAAGTGATTTCTTGATTGCGAACAGGTGTGGCAGTAATCAGGCCTGGGTGTGGCTAGAGAAATTGAACTCAGGTGCGATAAACCAGTGTTTTGACAGGGGGGCAAACACTTGTTCACACAGGGCTATATAGTTTTGGATTTTGTTTTCCCTTAATAATAAAAACCTTCATTTAAAAACTGCATGATGTGTTTACTTGTGTTATCTTTGACTAATATATAAATTTGTTTGACGATCTGAAACATTACAGTGTGACAAACATGCAAAAAGATAAGAAATCAGTAAGGGGGCAAACACTTTGTCGCTGAACCTAAATATTCGTTTGTTGGGTAGGTAATCATTTAGCATTTGAATATTCACCTGCTGACAGCCCCTATGAGTGAGTGCGGGTGTGTGGGGTTGTCTGACTACGTGTCGGCCCTGTGATAGACTGGCGACCTGGGTGTACTCCGCCTCCCACCCAATGTCAGCTGGGATTGCCTCCAGCCCCTCTGCAACCCTCTTCAGGATAAGCGGTATAGATAATGTATGAATGGATGGATTGTAGGCAATTACCTACAATCTTGTCAAAAAAGTCCAGTGGTGGAGATCATTCAGGTAGCAGTTTCTGCTGATAACCACTGTTTCTGGTTAGAATGACCACCAGCAGGGTCATACTAGCTGTCGCTAACTAAACTTAACGCTGTGAATTAAATGATGACAGGACAAAAGTGGCTGCTGTCAGGTTTGTGACCTTGCTGCAGCCAGTGGACAAACAGACAGCACACAGCGTCTGTTGTTAGCCGAATATTGTTTATGAGGTAAAGAGGCATCATTCTCTAACACCACTGAAAAATAAGAGTGAACTGGGGGCTTCTCTGTCGTTCCACCAACTCCAACAGAGTGAGACGTCTTCACAGGTAAAACTATCAGTTGATTTTGCATCAGTGATGGTAATGTAGCACAATGTGTGTGCATGCAAATGGTTATGATCTGTCGTCTCTTCATCTGTTACATTAAATATCACATAATTTTCATTATCGTTCTGTTTTGTTTTTGTAACTGGAAGTACTCCCAGATGGGCAAAAAGGTAGTTTTAGCTGCAGCACAATGTCTGTAGCTGCCTGGTCTAAGGTTGGTGATAAAATTAAACTGTACACAAGCAAACACAAAGAGGCCAAGTGTGAAATGCATACATAAACTATTATAGGCTAACGTGATATATCAGGATGTATTAGTGTGAAAAAAGGATTGGAAAGGATCAAATTCTCACTAATGCACACACAAAGTATCCTTTCCGGGTGTTACTCACCATTTTTTAGATTTGAGCCTAGGAGGAGGGTTTCTTGGAATGAGGAAGAGCGCACGCATAGGGTGCATGTCACAAAGTGCTGAAAGGAGATACACAAACATTCATAAGTAAGAATTTAAGAGACTGAACCAACACAGAAACACTAGTAGTAATACAATCTGTGACTTACGTGGTGCTCCTTCAGCCATTTCAATAGCTGTGATACCACAAGACCACAGATCACTCTGCAAGAAAAGATAACACCAGTCACCAGAAGCCACATCAAATACACATGCTCAGTCAAATCAAGGTGTTCATAGGTACAATACACCTGTTTCACACAAATACTCAATGTCAAGATTGGAGTGCTTGAGACGTCTGTGGAGGTTCTTACTCTGTAATCATATGTAGCGTCTGGGTTCTCGTCACAAGCAATGACCTCAGGGGCCATCCAGTAAGGAGTCCCGATGAAGGTGTTCCTCCTCCCCACTGTCCTGTCCAGCTGAGCACTAACGCCAAAGTCCACTGGAGAGAATAATGAGACCACAGTCAACAATGTGCTTTATGTTCATGTTCTTTGACTCAACTTTCAGGAGAGACTGGGGCCTGGAGACTTGTGGCTTTTGTCTCTTGGTCCTGAATTTCTGATGCTGCCTGATGGCCTGTCTTTGGTTGTGGAACGTTTATGAAGGCCCTGAAAATCCTTTCTTCTTACTCAGCATCTTACTTTTAGTATCGGGGTCCTACATTAACACACAGTTTTCTACTAAATCTTTAACAGTTCTATTTATTTCACAAAAATATTAATATTTCTAAATTTTTCCTTTGCTTCTCAAATTTGAAGTGGGTGAGGCTCTGCTGGAAAAACAGGATTAAAGCTGTGCTATAATTAGCATAATGACAACTGTGGGGCTTCTGCTTGGATTGCCAACAGTGTAATTGAAATCTGATTAAACTCCAGCTGCACAGTCCTGGAAAAGCAGATTTGCCCAGTTTATGAGTGGAAAAACCTTTAATACCCAAATGTTTTTTCTTACTTTGCCACATGTAGAAATACTTAAGATTTGATCAGTTTTCAGGGACTTTACCGGGTGACATTTGTTTCTGATCCACAGCATGTAAATACTGATGAATACTTCAATAAATCTTTTTGTGTGTAGTATCCAGTTGTTTTAGTATGTTTTCCTCTGACCGTATTCTAATACACATGAATCGTGCTCAAGACACCTCTTCAAGCGGACTCTGGTGTGTCACACTGATCAAAATGAACTGGATTTTGGGGTCAAGTGTATTCAGATCTGGGCCTAGGTCCCTAATGTGAAACCACCCTAAGACTACTAGCCTTTATCTGGGACAGGCCAGATTCAGCAGCACAACAAATGTTCAACACTGAGAAAGGTTAACCTGTGCTGCACTCACCTAGTTTGACTTCAGCATTTTCAGTCAACAGGACGTTCTGGCCCTTGATGTCACGGTGGATAACATGGTGGGCATGTAAGTGGGCCAGACCCTAAGGAGGAGAAAGTGACACAAGGCATGAGTGACTGAGAGGAGAGGTGAGAGGAGGAGAAACATGGAGAGGAGAATGGACTCACTCTGAGGATCTCTCGGGAGATGTAGGCGATCCAGTCTTCCTTCAGTTGGTTTCCCTTGGTGTTCTTCACCAGGTCTGTGATCGAACCAGCACCGCAGAACTCCATCACGAGCTACACAGCACATACAAAACCATCACAAGTCAGTGACACCTGACCAAAGCAATAACGTTTTAAATACATGACCACTGTAAATGTTGCCTGAGTATTGACAAGAGACCACAAAGTTAAACAGTAAAACAATATGACAAAATAGGAGAAAAGTACAATAGGAAATAGAGAATTTAAACCCGTCTGCTACACGTTTTCTTCCTTGCATATTTATTATTCATTCTTTGAAGACTTACCCATAGTTGGTCATCATGTCCTGGGGGGCTCTTCTTAATGAAAGCACCATAGTAAGTGGCTATGTTTCTGTGATGAGAATACTTCTTCAGCATATTGATCTCCAGTTTAATTTCCTCCTCTTCATCCTAGACACAAAAACAGATGTTGAAAAGACTTAGTCTTTGCCCTAGAAAATCTTTATTATGAAATACAGTAATCACTGTGGACATTGACCTCTGATCTTCATTAGGCCTTGAGTGACATTTCATTCCACAGTTAAATCAATTTACTTCACAGCAAGCGTCAAGCTAAGCGACAATGCCCCAGTGCGGTTTCAGTGCAGCCTGGCTGAACCTTATTCATTTCTCTATGTAACAATGCAGTATACATTGTTCATTTACTGGCAAATGTTTTCTTTGTTTGGGGATTAATGATGCATGAGTGAGTCTTACTGTGCACTGATGTATACCTTAGCCATTATTGTTAATCCCTTGTGTGGAAAAAAACAAACAAACAGAAACCAAACACCAAATATACATTAGATTGATGGCAAATTCCCCACAGACATAGTATTATTATCCTGAACAGAGCTGTTTAGACTTGCAAATACAGCTAATAACGCACATAATACAGGGTGCAGGGTCACTTAACGGAAGAAGAATAAATCAGGAATTTATTGATGCCTTTATCAATCGAACAGTATAGACATTACAATCACACACAAGTCCTGTAGATGTAGATTCCAATAAGGAGCTCAGTGGGCTTGTCCAGAGTGTGAAAAAGCTCAAATCAACAGCCAGACGCTAAACAAATCCATGCAATGTTTAGTGTCTGTTGGAAACAATGTTTAGTGCAGGTAAAAGGAGTGAATCTGTCCAATATCACATCTTCACCAACTAGCTGCAGTGCTAACCCCTTGCTTGCACTCAGTAGCATCTTGACAATGATTAACAGTGACACACTAACTGAACACATGCAGGGATCACCCTGCGCGAGGTTTGTTTATGGCTACAACACCTCTCCAAGAGCGGGGCAAGTTACCAAAAGAAAGGGGCGGTTGTACAGCTTTTTCACTGCAGACTACACCATGTGGGGGTTCACCTCAAATTGATTGTATTTTAGTTATGACCAGGCTGCTAAGAACACATAGAGAAATGTAGGAAAATGAGATGCCATGTGTAAATATTACCACACTGCATAGTGTGCTATGCATCACTTACAGCAAAATGGCAGTTGGTTGTCTATGCAGCCGGCCATACTGCCGCTGCATGGCTCGTTTGAGTTGACGTAAGCCCTTCTGTTGTGCTCACCCTCCCTCCCCCACCTGGCCCCTCTCTGCTGTACAGCTGTGGGATTATCACACTCCCAACTGTGAAAACCTCTCTGCCACAAGTCACATAGTGAGGGAGAGACAGACAATCATATGGTGATGTGCATCAGAGGGAAACAGAGAAGAGGAGGAGCGGAGCGCAGAGGATAAGAGGGAAAACAATGCATCTGCATACAGGATAGAGATCTGTGCTATTAGGTCACACAAATCTACAATATTCAACAGTCTCAAAATCTGTTGAATATCATATAAAATGGTGGCTTCTCAGTATAAAGGCTTATTTTTTCACTTCAGGCCTCCTCTACTCTTCAGACGAGTGGAGGAGTGTTTGGATTTGACACTGTGGAGCAGGGATGTGGGTCACAGTGACACTGGACAAGCCAACATGCCTGTGGAAGAGCTGTGCAACCAGAACAGAGAAGAGAGAGCCACATGGCCGCACTAAACCGCAGTGAACATCAGGTAACCAACGTAAGATGAGGAAAAGAGTTCTTTCATTACATGAATGTGTAAGACAATATTCTCTATCTATTCAGCTCCTTGTGCTTCCTTTTAATGAATGACCATGAGGTTTAGGGCTACTGCATATTTTCCTGGTCAAATGATTAATAAACAAGGCTATAAAATGGCAGATATTAATGGAAAAACTCAAGCCACAATTTCCTGAAGCCCAAGGTGACATCCTCAGAATTCTTTTCTTTGACTGATCCACAGTCTAAAATCCAAAGACACTACATTTACCACCACATAAGACAAAGAAAAGCAGAAAAGCCTTTGATAAGCTAAAACAAAGGGATTTTTTTTCTAGCAAAGTTATTCAATTTTATAACATTAACTGATTTTCAAGATAGTTTCTTATTAAATTGGTGACAGCGGAACACAGCCCCACGATAAAGTGTGTCATTTAAATGCTAAATGCAAATATTATACTGTTCAACACCTACAAATTTAACCACAGTCACAATGACTTGCAAGTCACTGTGAAGTCTGTAAGTAAATGAGGTGTACTACTTTAATGGCAGAGACAATACACAGTGAATCATTCAACTATGTGCCCCTAATCAAAATCTGGCTTAGCTGCAGAGTGATGTACAGGATGACATCCGTCTGGTCTGGGACGTTCACTAGCACCAGTCTTAGAGGCACGCCTCTCCTATCAGCCAGTGTTATTTACTAAAAATAGCCCAGCTCTGTCCTCAGGTGTACTGCTTCAACAGCTACCCAAAACGATAGGAACCACTTATTTTCACAGCGTATGGTGAAACCGGTTTCCACTCACGAGAAACCCGCTTCATGTGACATACAATTTTCATTTAACAGAAGTACTGCAGGTTTATTGGTTTGTATGTTCCCACGTTAACAAGGCACACCTAGTGTGAGGTCCAACACAACAGGAAAAAGTTGGGCAATATTCTCAAAACTGTTTGCACATGATAAATCGGTCAAGTGTGCAACATCTGACTCATTGTGATGTAGACTTAAGGAGTGGCAGCAGACAAGTCGAGGCATAGGGAGTATCTGTTGCTGGGTCACCAGCTACCGTCATGATGATCAATGTGTCAGAATACAATGAAAATATGTGGAAAAGCGCCTTTAAAAGAATGTGAGTATGAGGCAATAGGACATGAGCCAAACAAAAAGTCACAGTGCAAATCAAAATATTTTCCCCAAAGATGATTTCTGTCATGATAAGTAGATATCACCACGCTAACATGTGGAACAAGTGCTTGTTTTTCTGATACGTTTTGATTTATTTGATAAAAAGGGATCTACTTCAGATTATTAGACCTCTGCTCACAACTGCACAGAATCCTGTTGCAAATTGCATCAAAAAGCAAAAGGGCTGCCCCCATATTTGTGATATTTTGGCTTCATTACTACACAGTGACAGGAAGTGGTGGGATACAACCACTGGTCTGTGGTACAGTCTGAATGTTGGCCGAATGTCACTCTGAAACCCCGTTATGTGTTTCTCCATAAACACGTGTGCCTTATCTCATCTACGAACAGGACCTCCCAAAGCTGAGCGCCACCTGCTGGCTACTAAATGACGCACTTCACTCAAAAAGCACGCTGTTACTTCTACCTTTCCCCCGCTGTTAATTATGGGGGTGAGACTCATAACGGAGCATGGCATTTTCTTCTCTGTAAGCCCAAAAACATTAAGACATCAGAACTGAAGGAATGAATCTACTGATTTTAATATGTGCCAGAGCAGAAGAGCAAAGACTCAAACAAATCTAAGCATAATGTTGTCAACAAGCATCTAACTGGGTTGTGCCTAATGTTTTAGTACATAATATCACTAGCTATGATAAGGACAATTTAATCTTCTGGAGTTGAAACTGTCCAAAGAAACAGCAAATTACTATTTTTTATTTTCAACCAAGCAATATGTTTTATATCATGGCATGATACGCCTTAACTTCCTCCTGTCTTTTCAGCCTGCTGCACACAATTACACTGTGAAGTCATACAGTTCAGCCTCACCTCTGTGACATCCATGACCTTGATGGCAGCCAGCTGTCCGGTCTTGACATGTCGTCCCTGTGAAGAAACAAAACGCAGGTGAGTGTTCACAGTCCACATGGCAAACTCATTGTGCTATTATTAACTGTCAACTGGGTGATGATGATGATTAATGACCTAAGGAAGCTAGTACCTGTGTTACTGCTAGAAACACAGTGAATCTAAATAAAATTTGATTTTCATTATTGTCAACTGCTATTTCACATGGAAAACTAATCAAATGAAATCAACTGTTTAAAAGTTCCCATCGTCAAACATTACAATCTCAAGACACAGCCAACATAAACTTACAAAACACAGATGGTATATTATTCCCAAGCTATATCGACCAGACATTCCCAGGCTTCTCACCCCAATGCCACTCCTTACATTAACAAAAGACCAAAATAGAAGCCTCTCCACAACGACCCCAACCCCCAAATCTGAGAAGAGATAAAACATGGAACATTTTTGGGAGCTGGCCCATAGGAGTGTGGGTATTCCCCTTCTTCTCAAGAACAATGCTGCAGTGATAAGGCATCCCTTTACTGGTCACTGCAGCGACTGCATCAGACAAACGTACATCAATACAGCTGTGCAAGAAGGACAAGTAAAAGCACCACTCATACGAACACCCCCACCACCACCTTAGCCATGCATTCCAAAGTCAACTGAAACGGTATGGGTTATGACAATAAAAGCCATGCACTTTACAATGCCCTTAATCGTGGCCACTTTGATGCCAGGGGTCAGTGACACAAAAACAAGTGACATCTCCATGGACTGGCTGCTAGCGCTGACACAGCCAACTCTGCTGGCTTCACAGGCCACAGGTGAAACCCACAGGGACTCAGTCTACCTCATCCCAGTGTCTTTGGTGCACTTAGACTGTCCTTCAATAAAAAGTCAGCTTGTAGTCAAAGGATTTATTTATTCATTGACATATCCTTTGACATTAACCCAGTTAAGCAGTCACTTTACAGTCAAGCAGATAAATCCCTTGCATTAAAAAGTTAAAATTCACTATTTACACCTTCTCAAATGTGAGGATTACCTGTGTTGGGAGGACAGTACTTTAGACTCTGGGAAATGTTCACAATTATCAGACCAATCGATGAATCTACAAAATTATTAGCTGATTAATTAATAGCTTTAAGCTCCATTATATTAGTAATAAAACTGAAGTAAGACCAATACCCCAATTAGTCAACTAATGAACAAATGAGCACACAACCCAAATGTGCACGGCTGCTTCTGTATGTCCAAAGCTGAAGTGTCTAATTTTTTAGTCAGGACTGAAAATTATAAACATAATCTTACTGAATGAATTGTCCATTTACTGTCTGTACCTACAAACCCAAACTGGGAGTCAGCACTGACTCATTGCTGCCATTTGTCATGACAGGAAGCGATGTGGATTACAGCACACCCACAACACCATGTGTAAACACTGCACCTGCGGATCTTTAATGGAGTCATTTGAATCTCAGATGACTGGCTTCTCTTGTTTTGGTCATAAAAATGAACAGAAAAAAAAAGATCTCTCTTTTGAGATCTTAATAAACCAAAGCTGTTAAATGTTGACAATGCTGAGATAGTTGTGTGCAAGGCCAGCCACAATTCTGTTTACATTGGATTTAATGATGTGGTTGGGAACAGATACTGGGAGGTGAGGATACGACTGCACTCATCACTGTGATTCCTTCTCTCTGAACCTGAACAATTTACAGTCACATAAATCCAGGTGTCCGTCAGCCTCTGGGTTATCCAGGCCACAAGCCTATCACATTTCGACATGACAAAACAACTGGCTTACCGTACACAACATTAGGACATAAGGAATAGGAGAGTGACCGATAAGTTTAGCACTTACTTTATTTTAGGGTTTATACTATGCTGAACAAGTCACAGTAAGTAATTCAAGTTCAAAGTGTTTATTTGTCATATGCACAGTTAGAAAACATGTTTCCCTGTACAATGAAATTCTTACTTTGCTGTCCACATGAATGCCACAACATACAAGTGAAATATAAAGTAGATAAATAAGTAACACAAAATCTAAGGCACTTTAAGCAGCAACAAATGCAGCAATATGATAAAAATATATAAGAATACAACAGAGAATATATGCTGCATGGGAGCAGCATGTGCAGCAGAGTCTTTGTGCAATTATGCATGTAACACAAATAAGTAACACAAAATCTAAGACACTTTAAGCAGCAACAAATGCAGCAATACAAAAATATATAAGAATATAACAGAGTAATGTAAATCAGAACAAATAAAAATAGGCAGGTTTTCAAAAAGTGGAGGAAAAAAGCAGCCAAGTTTGCTCAACAGATCCTCCAAATCCTCTTTAACTAGGTTATTCTAGGCAAGCCTCACAAAGAGCCAAAGTCAACATCAGACCCAGCATATTTTTCAGCCTTGTATTCTCAAATCTGCTGTAAATTAACCATTAAAAATGTTTTATTTAAAGGGTTATTTTTCCAGTTAAAGGATTAATCATTTTAAATAAAGGATTAATCACTTATTATATCCTGTAAAGGAAGCTTTTGTGTGCTTTTACTCAACAGTATCCTTCATTTAACCCCAGCCCCCCCAAAAGAAAAACCTTTGGATGTACTATGGTCCAGTGTACAGTAGATTTTTCAAGCTGATACAAAAATATTGATATTAGAGTTAAAAAAAAAAATCACTCCTCAAGTGGGATCTGTCATTCCTTGGCTACACTACTATTAACTTGTTATGAATACTGGAGACCACCTTACATAAAGCAAGTTGCAACATTCAAGGACTGACTTGCAGCATCTGGCGACTTCTGAGTAACTTCTGCTTGATTCAAATCCAGTCTTGGCAATATCAACAACAGTAACACTGGATGTCATTTCATCCCCTCAGAGATGAACATGACAGCAGCTTCAGCATATTTATGGGCCAACTGTTGCATAGAGGGGTGCAGCTAATGGTTATTTTCATAACTGATTCATCTGTTAGCTACCCTGACAATTAATTGATCCACTGGGACATAGTGAAATATGAAATTTTACAAGGAGTTTAAAGGTCCTTCAGTGTTGCATTGAGTTTGACCAGTCCAAACATAAAGATTTAAAAAGTAGCACATTTATTTTTTAAGAAGCATTAAACAAATAATCATTTATAAAACAATTTAGTAATCGACTTATTGTTTCAGTTGTAAACTTTGCTGGGCCCCTGGGACGCTGACCCACTGCAGCTGGGTCCTGACGGGCCCCTTGAAGTCGCCTGTTAGGCATGGTTGTGGAGGGGTTATCTGAGGCCCTCCCTGGACCCCATCACAGCTCCTCTTAACCATGGCCAGATGTGCTGCTGGCCTCTCTCCAACTCAGCCCTAAACCAATGACTGAGTTGCTGCCTTCAGAGCCAGAGACATCAAGTTAAAATCTACCCCAAAACAAAATACACTATTCTAAAAGTGCTCATTTAACAGTGCTGGGGAGAAATCAAACTCAACACTAGAAACTCAATAAAAGCGAAGCTGCTCTATTAAACCGAGTGCTGACATAAGGAGTTTGTAGAAACTGAACTCTGCCATTATCAGAAGCATGTGTAAACTAAACTAAAACAGGCTTCTGGTGCAGTCATAATATTCACTGTTTGTGCAGCAGATCCACGTTTGTAATACACATAAAGTACAGTTGTCTGAGATCACTATTAGAAAACCTATGATTCATGTTTTCGGGTGGATCTTCCCTGCTCAGCAGTATCGTTAGTGGTCTGCCCACAGAGTCGGTGTGGACCGGGGGAGTGCTGCTTCCCATACACTTTTCCACTGTATCCTGATTGACCAGAACACAGAGAACCACTCCCTCCCTACATCTTTCACATTAATGCAAGATCAATTGCACTTAGCAGCTACTTCAAAAGGCTGGCTGGCTTTCTAAGCAGCTCAATGTATGCTGCCATTGTACAGAAGAGTGCTAAAACTGAGCGACATGTTCACTAACTAGCCATGTAGGTGCAAAACAAACTGGGCTTCATGTTATTAGCTCACACTGTGAGGGAAGGAGAAGACTGCTGGGTGCCATACTTTAGTTCCTCTAAAGGTCACTGGTGAGAGTCTCTGTGTGTGTATCTATATGGGGGTGTGGTAATGCAGGCTGGATGACAACCCACACTGGATCACATGAAGATCCAAGTTGACTTTCGAAGTGGCAGGTAAGTAGATACGTGGACAAAAGGTCATAAACCTCTGGCCTTGGGAAGTTTTTGGACAAATGCAGCAACACAAAACATACAGTCCATTTCCAGACTTGCTTACACACACATATGCACACTTCTACCTCAGTAACACCTATCAGATGAATGCTGAGAAAAGAAAATATCATTCAGCAGTGCATCCAGGGCTGAGTTTCCCCCTGCCTCTCTAGGGTCTACCCCTTTAGACTGCTGCTGCATACCAGCACACTGACCCAGTTCTCACATACACACAGCCTCTGCCCTGCTGCCTCTACTCCCCAGAGATGTAAGGATGAAAACTGGCAAAGAAACTGATGGGAAGAGGAGAGGTGGAGATTGAGGGAGAGAATTGTGATGTGAGAAGACAGAGAATAAAAGAGAGATGAGGAGAGAAGCTGGGGCAAGGGGAGGATGACAACACAAAGTGAAGAAGAAGAAAATGGAAAGAGCAAGCACACAAGGAAAGCTGAGTAAGTGTGACAGGGGAGGCCAGTTGATGTGACTGTGCATCTATTGATCATAGTGCAGTAGCTTTTGGCTGCTGTGAGGGATCAAAGATGCACTGTGGAGCCTTTCCTCATATCTAAAGAGAAACAATATTTCAACAACACTTGAACCAAGTGAAAGTTAGAAACCTAGCTTTGGCTGTAACTTGCTAATTTCCAAGTCTTTGATCAGGAAAAGAGGCTAACAGGGATCCCACTATGAGAAAATATCCTTACCTTATATGATGTCACGTAAATCACATAAAACTAGGCAGTAAGTGTGTTTTGGAAATCGTTTTCAACTGCCATGTGTTACAAATGAGAACAAGTTACTCTTGAGAAAATCCCTTCCTTGATTTGTAGTGGAGGTCACTGGCACATTAAAACAAGACATTTCTTAAGGAAAATGGATCTTGAAGAGAAAAGAGCTGGCAACTAAGCAAAGGCACTGGAGAAAGACAAGCAAGAGTCTGTTTTGTCTGCCAGCGCCTTTGTGTTTCATCAAGACCACTTGGGTAATGAGGTGGCTCACTGAGCTACACACAGATAGCAGCATTAACACACACAGACACACAGACACAGAGAGTTTTGTTCAGGCAGCGTGGCCAGTCAGGGGACACAGCAGGTCTTGTGACACCCATTAGGGAGACGGTCACAGTGGGGCAGTGGGATGAGAATGATATGCACACTGGGCTAGAGAGGGTGCAAAGTGGCAACTGTGTGCATCTGAACTTCACCATCTTAGCTTGAAAATGTTTCACACATCATGCCTTTCAGCTCTTCAAAATGAGCACAAGCCAACACAGTGGGTGGATAATAGATAAAGAGATAGGTATTTAGCCACATGATCTTGCTGCTGATTGCAGGCACGGCACCAAACAGACCAAAAAACTATAGGTCTTAACTACTGGATGAACGTACATGAATGCACACAAAGCACCGAGATGTGACAGTATGAAAATATGGGTGGGCATAGTCTTGACACACCCCGTGGATGCATAGCAGGCAGGGAAGCAAGTCAGCGGGGCTCTGGTGCCTCAGGCCTGACTATATTTGGCCATTCTGCAGAGCACAGAAGAACTTCCCTGCATAACATGCACAATTTGATGAATTATGTCTTTTTCTATGCTATCATTACTCTCTCATTTTTTAATCCCTATATCCAGAGTGAGACACCTGAGATAGTCTACTGAGCCAGCTGGTGCAGAGCCAGCTGATAAAAACTGAAGTAGTGGGAGAAACTCAGAATCCCTCTGCCGTGCAAGAGCAGTGCTTTCAAGGAGTGTGGACAGAAATGCGTACTTAAAGATAACTAATGACTAAAGACCAACTGAGTGTAGCAAACATACAGCATTAATGCTTCCAGTAGATGGTTAATTATAACAAACATGGAGGGTCAATGTACCAAAACTAAGAGCATAATGTGCCCTTTTAAACTAAATTAAGGAATTCAGTATTACATATATACCATAAGAGATCAAGTTTGGGGTTTCTGTGGTTACTGAATCAAAAATGCAGCCTTGCAATAAATCATCATTTTATTGGTAAAAATAAAAACAGTGCAACAAAAAACTGGTCTAGGCTGCAGCAAATTTTCTTTGTGGCCTAGTTTTCTACAGTACTTATCAAACTGATGACTCACTACTGCTGATAATACAGTAGATGTGCTCAATCTGAATATATAGGCAGGTTTCCGTTCCTACCAACCAGCTGGCCGAACCAAAATTAAGTGACTTTAAAAGGGCTTTTCAGCTAGAAAGTAATCTTCATTATGGCTGTCAGTCAAATTCTGCTGCGCTGGGTTTTCAGAAGCTGACTGTAATCTGGCACCTCTCCAGGGGCAACGGCTGCCCTCCTGGCAGAAAGAGCAGCTACACAGCCAGCAGCGCAGCACAGCCACAAGGACCTTGACATGGCATTTCAGCTCTTAGAGAGCAGCTCTCTTCTTCTAGTTTTCCAGGATAAAATGTTGAGCTGAAAGTAGTACAACACAGGAAAGATACAGGCTTTCACTAGATCTGAGCCTTGGTCTACTACAGGTGTTCACCACAGTAGGTACTGCTTGAAGTTGTTTATATAAAAATGATGCCTCATTTCAATACTAAAACTAACAATGCTTTACCTTGCTTTGAGAAATATGACTTTCTTCAAGATGCTCTCTTAAATGTTACAACACAAGCACCAGTGCAATTATTGTCTAATAACACAGTCTAAAACTGGCAAAATTATTTTTAAATCAAGAACTCTCAGGGCACAGAATGAACAAGCATGCAACATCAATCATATTATGAAATCTAACTTTTAATTTAATATTTATCATCGTCCTTAAAGAAAAAACAAATCAGAAGTCATCCCCGATTTGCATTGTGCCATCTAAAAATGCCTTTCTAAACTGTGACCAAGAGCCTGACAAAGCAGAAAAGGCCTCAAAGGGAGAAGAAACTCCACCCCATTTTCAGTTGGGGGGCTCTTGTCATTATTCAGTCGGTTGGCGTTTGAAACCCTGCAGACAAACACCTCCTTTCTGAGACTCTGAGTGACTGACGTACTGAGAGACCCAAAAAGAGTGAGGAGACAATCTCAGCTTTGTCAGAGTGGTGGGTAGGTTCTGTTCAAACTGGACAGCTGCTCTTCTGCCAGTTGCAGCCCACCCCCCCCACATACACACACACCAAGCCCTCTATCACCACACTCTTACTGCACATGCTCACAGGCCACATGCTCATTCAAGTGGTTAACATGACAGGCAATGCACTGATGGACAGGAAGCTACTGCAGCAAGCTTCAAGCCAGGACTCTGTCTTTGTGTCAGCCCTCTCTTGTACAAGCTCCATTCCCACACAGCGGCACTCGTAAAAAGAATTAGCATTAGACAGTGAATGGAGCATGAGATTAAAAGGACAAAAAGACGAAAAAGCAGTAATTCACAACCCTGACCCAGCTCTAAACCATCTGGTGAGAAGATAAGATGCAGAGCATCACACATCCTTGAGACAATCACCTGCACTGCACAGGGCTGATTTCAGATGTGGTGATCATATGAGCACATGCACACAGATGGGTTTGCTTTGTGAGTTGAGGCAGAGGACATCCTGGGTTTCCAGTGCACTAGGGGATTGAATGCAGGTCACTAGAGCACTGCAGGCTGTCAGAATTAAATACTCAGCTTACTGCCCAAGCTAGCTAATTTTTTTTTTGCCTTGCAGGCTAGCATTAGCCTATTAGCAGTAAGGCAGAGTAGATATGCTTAACATAAACTCTAGGCATGTAGTTAAATGACACCTAGCAGTAGGTAACAAAATGGAGCCTCCACTGCAAAAATATCAACACAAGAAGGCTCATTACAACACTGGCAAAGGACAAATGACTCTCCAGTCCAAGGCCATCACTCCACCAGGCACACAACGACCACATCTCCCCTCCTTGGCAATGTCTTTCAACAGCCGCAATGTTCATTTTCAACAGGGAAATGTGACACCATGAGCAGATGGCCCAGAAAGTGGGATTCCCATCCACTGAAATGGCAAAGCCCTGATTTAAACAGGATATTGGTTCTGTGTAACATAAATAAAATGAGCACGCTGCAGACCTGCAGTCTTATGACATGCATCCTTGGTTCCTCACCTACTTTTCGGTAAAGCGATGATGTAAGTGATGTAAGATACCAGACTGTTGACTGTCTGATTCACTCTTTGCTCACACTCCTAGATGAACACTTAACAATAACCAGCAAACAAACCAGGTTGTGATCAGACCACAACAAACTGCTACATACATTAATACTGTTCCCTTACACTCAGCCTGCAGTGTAGTGTAGGGTAGGGTAGGGTAGGTACTTTATTGATCCCACAGTGGGGAAATTTGGAGTGTGACAGCAACATCAGACTTTTTAATGCCAGTTTCTTTGTTCCCAGACTTGTTTTTTAAGGGTGGGGGGGTGGGGGGTGCACTGTGAAAACAGGACAGGCCGTGGACTGCGCCTCCAACCTACCTTGTATACTTGTCCATAGGTTCCATTTCCAACTACCTCCACCAATTCAAATATCCCAGCTGGATCCTGAAAAGAAAAAGACAGAAATGCATTTCACTTTAAATAAAATGTGATGATGATGTGTTTCATTTAGGAAACATTGTCCAGCGTGAGCCAGCTGTTGCGCCCTGATCTACCCTACATGCCAAACGCATCTCGAACAAAGGAAAACCAGACACTGGCAACACCTCGCTTCGGCTCAGCGGTCATTTTACTTCAGCTAACAAGAAGCAAGACCGGGGAACAGGCTAAAACTTGCTCATATTAGCCATATTGACTGACATGTGTTTTCTCGAATAACGTGAAATAAGCAAAAAAACAAAACAACAACAACAAAACATCGGCTCGGTTCGGCAACACGCACCCGCAATGAAGCCAAGTCTATGTCTACTAGACTTTTAGCTGGAGAGTCGTTCGCCATCTTTCAAATAAAAGCCGCGCTTCCCGTTGCTTTTGCAGAAGATGTTTGTTGCTGTATCATTGGCAGAGTGTTCGGTGAATAAATTTGGTAAAGTCCGTCGCTTATTCCTCACTGTGGGAGCCGCTTATTAGCTCTAAATGCTGGGGTTTTGCGCCTTCATGTTGAGGTGGCAGCAGCGAGCTCCCTGTTCGCTCTCTCACAGCTTGTACCACTAATGTGAAGCTAAGCGGAAAACTTTTACTTCCGACGGGGAGTTTCAAAATAAAACCCCCACTTATCATGATTTCCGACCAAAGAAACGGAGCTATGTAGGATTACACTGATAAATAAAGAATTATGTTTTGAACAATATAGTAGCCTGGTTGTTTTTCTCATTTTTCAAATTATCTCAGAAGTAAAAGGTTAATGAATGGCCATGAATCTGCATTAGTGTGTAGTGGTGGAAATATTCAAATAAGCCAAAGAAAGACTACTGATACAAAGGCAGACATTTAAGTATTTTAATCTGTATCTGTAAATTAATGTAGTGGAGTTTTAAAAATTCCTTTTAAAAATGTAACAATAAAAGTTAAAATAATACAATTTAAATAAAGCACAAACACCCCAAAAATTGTACTTAGGTACTGTACTTAAATGTATCAATTCATCACTTAAATAAATCCCACTTCGTACCACTAATACTGACAAGACAAACACTCCTCAACAATAGCTGAGTTTTATGAGAATGGAAAGAACGAATACTTTAATTATAAAGTGACATAAACGCATAGTTCCTAATATAGTTTCAGTATCAACCAAATTTCCAGGGCGTTTTAATTCTAATTATCTTTTATGTTGAAAGTAAAACACTATCATTTCCGTTTGTAACGTGCCTGCTTCTGTCTAACTTGACGCCGCTGTGATTGAGACCCGCACAAACACAGGATGCCGGTCGGCTGCACAGAGACAACAGGGCTGGGTCTGACTCCATCAGTACGACGTGAACAGGAGTTGATTTTAATTCACTAACTACACAGACACATCCTACTTCTCTCACATTACCCTGTATGTTATATACATACAATTTAGACAAGCAGCAGGGCAGGTGAGATAAATAGCGGACCACCACCACACACCATCCTTATTATGGACATGCGTATGTGAGACTTCAGTGTCAGTATTGGTAATCTTGGGTGTGGCCAGTGAGCATCTCAGGAGTGATGCTGTGTGTTAGTGGAGTCCACAGTAGGGACTGGGGGAGCAGCATGAGACAGATACTCAAGCCAGCATGAGAGGTTATACACAGAAATATATTGCAAAAATACTACTACTACTATTTATCTCAGCATGTTTCCCGTTTGAGTGTGTGATGTTTTGCCAGGGTCACTCTCCAGTTGGCATTGGAAATGACCTCCTTTATCATTAGAAAGAAGTCTGTCCAAGCAGGGAATCGGGATTCTGCCTGAGCCACAGCATCAGTAGATCAATAGGGTGCTGAATTCTTCTAAGCCCTTTGGCAGTGTACCCCAAGCTGCTACTTCTTACAACCGCAGTCACCTCATCAACCTAACTTCTGCTCTGCATCATCGTTTCCATACTCTCAAGGCATACTATAATTAAATATGTGTGTATAGCTCTGTAGTATGGTATACATTGTATTTTGGAGTAGTTACATAAACATAAACCTTTTTAATAAACAGTGGGACCCCATGGCATTTTACAAGCCTGGATCTTTAATAACAATACCAAACCATGTTAACAAAAGCACATGCAAGTCCACCTCTGCAGTGTTTCTGTTATTTATCACAACAGCACAATGAAATGCTGAAACAGACTAAGCTAATCTGCTGGTTAAACAAATTTCAAGTCACCATTCAAATGACAGGGCAGGATAAACCAGTCAGGCAGGGTGAGAGGAGTAGCAGTGAAGAGGCACATACACATGCATGCTGGGCATTCAGTGAAATACCTAAGACACATAAGCTCTGAGCCCTGCGATGGATTGGCGACCTGTCCAGGGTGTACCCTGCCTTCGCCCGACTGCTGGCCGGGATTGGCTCCGCCCCCCATGACCCCGTTCAGGGATTAAGCAGTAGAAGATGAATGAATGAATGAATATAAGCTCTGTAAAGGTAAGTTTTGCATATGATACTGATCATGTAAATCATGTCCCTCACCCTACTGGCTACTGGTTTGTTGCTGATATATAGTATAAATTCTTTGTCCTACCCTCATTTCTGTGGTTCAAATTTCAGTTATAGCTCTGTGATGAGGACTGAACATGGTTTAGCGTCTCAAACTGAGCTAATATTAGTCGTCTACTCTTGTGGATAGTTGCTATTACAGCAGGGACACACTGTACACCTGATTCCACATCTTGAAGGGTCATGTCTGTACCATACCTACTCAGACTCCACATCAATGTGCTTTTATTACTTGAAGCAGTGCTTTGGTTGTGATAAAAAAAAAAAAACAGTCTGAATGTTGGACCACCTCATGATTTATTTCATATACAGCCACAGAAGAATGTCTTTACAGCTACATTTCCTCAACGTGGCAGTGTTTTATCATCAAAAAAACAAAAAGCATCAGCAAAGAGCTACTCGAGAGAATATCCAGTAAATTAATAGGATGCAGCAACCTAAATAAGAAAGAGCACATTATTTTATTTTATGTTGAACTTCATTACTAACTAGTGTTGCCCTTGTATTACGACCAGCTGTCTAAGAAGTCACCAGGTGGTTGCAGTACAGGTCAGGTTTTTGTTTCATTGTGAAAGTTAATTTTTTGATCATTTTGCTTTTTTCATAGCATTAGACAATTTAATTAAAAACAACAAATATAATACAGCAAATACATAGCAAGTTATTCCTGCCGGCGCTATGGCACAAAGTCAACTAAAAAAACACCTCTGTCTCAGTCAACCAAAGACATTGAGAGGATGTTATATAACTGTTAATCACTTTAGTTCAGTAAAAAGTCTGGTCTTGGGTAACCAAACAGGTCAAAGTCACCCTGGTAATGTGCAAAGAGACGTCTGATGTCCCGCTTGCTGATGCCTGAGAAGTAGTGCTCCACCTTGGTCCTGTTGTAGCGTGTAATGCCTGGAGGGATGGCTGGGTAGGACACCAGCTGATCAATGCCCGCTGCTTTGAGGATGTGGGGGGCATCTTCCTCCAGTGTCTCATGGTGGCCAACAATGCTGTAATGTATTTCACATGGCGCGCACAGCTCTACATAAGTCACCCAGTGTATAACATGCTCGCCAAACTGTCGGTCCAGACGCCAGTGGCCTTCTGCATCCCCCAAGTAACGGACAAAGTCCTCAAAGTGCAGGCCAGAGGCAGTGTTGTTGTTGTTACGGTGCCTCTTGCGGTATTTACGGATGATGGCTGGAGCAATGTCATGCTTGTACCAAGGCTCAAAACGCGGGTTTGTCACGAACTTGTCCTTGAATGCAGAAATCAGACGCTCAAAGGGATCTCTCACAAAGAAAAACTTAAAGTAGGTGTCTAATCTGTTGACAAACACAAGGATTCAGGAGAAAACTGTTTTCAGGGATGATGCATTTCTTTATTGATTAAACTTCAGGCATTTTTGCTGACCATCTTAGAGACTTGTAACAATCCTTACAGTCTCAACTGATCTATTAACCATGATGCTTAATTAGCAAATGTGTAGCTAAAATTTAGCACAATCTGAGTGCCCCTTAAATTGTGCTCAACTTTAGCTAATTACTAACTCTCAACCTTTGCTTTGAGCACATCCACTGTAACCACTAGGATATGTGACCCAGACAAGTGCACACTTATCACATCCTCTCTAAACCAACCTGTGCTTTATTTCCTGTGGCTTGAACGATGAGAGGCGGGGGGAGGCACTTTTTTTTTTTAAGGTTTTCTGGGATCTCCTCCACAGTGGAGAACACTCCTGCCAACATAAATTGACAACTTCATTAACATTTTAAACAAACAGACCTCCAGTTAAAAAGTCTCATTTCATTTTTATTACCATCATATTTCATCTGTGTACAGTTAACTCACAAAATCGCAACCGGTGTTTATCAGTCATTCCTTATCACCTTCCTCCAACCCATACTTACCATTGAGCGCAATGAGGACCTTCTTCCATTGCGTGTTGCCAACTTTAGGCGTCTGGCAGAACAATATCTCATGTTTGTCACAGACAAAGATGCGGTCCAGGACAAATTTGCTGATGGACATGTGAGTCAAATTCCTGAGGCTGCTGTTATTACATACAGTTGAGAGCCGTCTGAGTCGCCTTTCAACTTCTAACTGCCAATCATCCACTGTAGGTTTGACTGGGAGCTGAGACACACGCACACGCACGCACGCACACACACACACACACAACACTAATGTGACCAACAGTCATTATTGCAAAGCCGTGATGTTGTTTCCAGTGATGTCTGTGATAACATGCGATTATTAACCAGCTGGATTAGATACCTGATCTGATGGCTTCTGAACAGGTTTTTCGGGGCTGGGAACAGGGGTGTCTTTGACTACCTTGGCGCCCGGCACTGTCCAACTCTGACTGCCATAGTCTGAAAATAACATGTCAGAGTGTGCTGCTCTAGTTTTTAACCCAAATAACTGATATACAAATCAAAAGCTTACCATGTACCGCTCTGAAGCTGAGGAGCTTCCCGAGAAACATCAGGATGAGCAGGACCCAGCCACAGGCCCCAACGAGCAGCCAGTGGTGCCGCATCGTTTCTCACATCAGCTGACGGCCATGGAAACACTATGGCCGCTCTCACCCTTTTTTTCAGGTTTTAAATTCCTTATTTAAGGATTTTGAAACAAAGTACAAATTCAGAAAAAGGGGAACAGCTATGTGCACAAGAAATTAAATTACATATGCATATATATATACAAATCCATATACACATACATATATAATCCCATTCATTTTGATCATATTGTGCCCTTAAAATGAAAAAAAGGAAACGAACTCAAGGAACAACCCATGTCATTCTAAAATATAAGAGACATACATAACATTATATATGGCCGCTCTCACCTGGACACAGACAGGCGACTGACTGAACCCTGCTTTTCATCAGCTAGATTAGCTCTTGGCAACACTAACCCTGGTGTTGATACTAGCATACTGATTAAACGCGAACAAAATAACGTTATCACCTAAAGAGCTCTTCTTGATTAACGTTATTCACAAGGGGCTAAAATTACCATCAGCTTGTTCGACATGCACAGCTATGAACGCCTAGCTAACGTGAGTGTACCCACATTCAGTACAAACCGTTAACTGTATTTAAACTAACTGGTCCCA